GTTGCTCTCCTCTCACCTCAAGTTACCTGTACTACCAACATTCATCAAAACATCCGGCTCTCTGGAGGATTTCCTCGGGAAGATCGCTATCATCAAGTCCCTTATCGCTGGTCGTATCCTTTGCCTAAGGCAAAGAGTTTTCTCTGTGGACTGCCCGGAGTGAACTTTAGCTAGGCTAGCTCGGCAACTGTGGACTGCCCAGTTGCTAGAGACTATGGAGACCGTCTACCACGTCGGAGCCGTACCAAACTTCGCGATCTGCCGCAGAAATGGGATCACTTGGGTCGCGCTGAACTGCGACCCGGGATGCATCCCGGGAGATGCTTGGGAATCTGTGGACCGAGTATGGTATTATTCGCGAAAGTTCCCGTCGGACGCTAACGGCTTCTTCAAATCGGGGGAATGGTCGAAGATAGCTGATTGGCAACGCCCTGATCGTTACTGGACCGAGTGGATCCCAACGGTCATGACTTCGTCGCCGGATCCCTTACCGTGGTATCACATCGAAGATCACCCTACCGCCATCAAGAAGACGCAGTACGGCCGATTTCTCATTGAAGTAGCGGTGCGGGATATGTTCGTGGCGGGGCTCAAAGAAGCTTGGGAAGTGGTATCGGAATTGGTTTCTAGTAATCTATTCCCAAGTAGCTCAGCAACCCCCATCGAAGCCAATTACAACGATCTTTATTTCGCCAAGGACTCAGCCAAAGAAGCGTTCGAATTAGTAGTGTCAGCGAAGCGAAAGATGCTGGAGTTCTTAGGGATGATCAATTGGTGGACGTCGGTCATCCCGCGTTGGGAAAGTCTCGTCAAACCTGCTACGGTTAGCGCCATCCACGAGTATTGTTTGAAAGAATACGGAAAGCGGGGAGTCCTCATTAACCTTGCGAGGGACAGACACAATATTAATCTACCCCTCCTCCTCAAGCGCGACGTCCTGATAATGTACGCGTGGACCATCAAGGAAGACGTCAATCCGATGTTTGCGAAATTAGTGCCGCTTCTCCTGAATGCAAACCAGAAGAAGAAGAGATTGGTTAAAGCGGATTTCCTGGTAGCGGATGAGGATTTCTTCAAGTCAGAAGATTATGAATATCTATTTTCTTTCACGATTATGCTTGAAGCGTTCCCTCCGGCGGACGTTGAAGCCCCGGATATTTACCCCAAGAAACTCAAGGAATCGTGGGCCTACTTCATGATCGACAGCGAGGGCTATGGTCGTCGTCCAGTGTTAGACAGAGGATGGCAACTCTACTACGCCTACCGCTATCATTACGAAATATTGGGGGATCCTAAAACGGATGACGCCACAGTGATATTCTACCGACTGTACAGGAAAGAAGAAAATAAGGTCGACCGTTATATAGGAGAGGGCAGCGACTACGATCCTGATGAGGAGGTTTTGGACTATGAGGATTCTACGAGCGACGACGATGTGGCTCCCTCAGACACCACTAGGGACGCATTGGATAACGACTTCCTCGTATGGGAACTTAGTCGCATCAAGTACGCACCTCGTCCTGGACAACGATTTGATCCTAGAACAGGTCTCGAATTGGAGAAACCTTGGAGCGGGTCGAACACTCTATCTCGCTGGTCGGCTGAACTCTTGAAAGCAGTCCCTACGTCTCCCGACAGCTTGGAATTTACTAGGACAAGAAACGCTATCAAGAGAGTTATCAAGATCATAGAGGACGGGATTCCAGAAAGAATGGACGTTGACGAAGTACCAGGATCGTCGGCAGTCAGTCCGCCAGCTTACTCAGTATCACCCGAGATGTTGGAAACTCCAGCGGGACCTGGGACTGAAGAGTTACCTAAACAGTCAGAAAACACGGAGCCGGATTTCATTCCCCTTCCTTCCATATCGCTTCTAGACCGGATGTCCGATGAAGGAGGATCGAGGAACATATCCAGAGGAATCCCGACTGCTCCCAGAGCTCACCGAGATAGGGACCAGTTCGGGAGGCGCACGAATTCCCGTACGCCCTCTTCAGCGTCACGTCACTCCAGCTCGGATCAATATAGGCAATCTCGCTCACACTCTCGCTCTCGTAATCGATCCGCATCTCCGCGTCATTCAGAGTTCTATCAACGCGGTTCCAGAAGTCATTTACCTCCGAGAAGGCCTTCCCCTCAGCATGGAGGCTACCGCAAACCAAACGAAGAACAGATGGAAAAAATACAATCCTGGACGTCGTCGGACTTAGCAAAAGCAATACCATCGCCCGTGGGAGCAGCTCTTCCTTTAGTTCGGAACGACCTTTGGAACTTTCATCTGATCAAACACGGATTCCTCGTACTCCGCGAACCGGCGTCTCGCGTTATCGCTCGACATTGGGCGATGACCGATCCTCAAATTAAATCCGTGAAAGACTTGATGAGGTGTTTCATGGAGTACGGCATTGAATTCGCGGTAGCCATCTTGGAGAGAGACACAGGTCTCTTTGCTCCGGACGTGGGTCTGCGGGAAAGGAAGCTAGGAGGTGCAATATATTCTCAAGACTCCACTGAAGATCCACTGACGTGGGGAAACGGAGGAAGGGAATTTTGTGTTCGTTGGGGGCGGCGTACCGACGAAATCCTGGGCAGAGATCACGCGAGGAGCCTAGTTGCTAAAGGAGGTACTCTGGCTTGGATCGCGCATCAAAACAGTCGAGACACTTTGACGGACGTGTTCTCCAATGGCCCTTCGAAGCAAGTGACCATACATCGCGGGGGGCTGACAGATTTGGCCGATCAAGATCATATTGGTCTAGTACAAGATACTATGCTAGCCGCGGAGGTCAACGTCTTACTGGGAAAAATTCATGGCGAGGACAAGTGGATTTATCCTCCCACGGAATTCCTCTGGGATTTTAGTTCGCATTATTCGGGAGTGCTCAATGAACCGACTTTGAACACTCTTTCTCTAATTCAAGCGGAAGTCGAAAGGAATGAGCCGAAGCTGAGAAGCCGTTCGGACTTCAGAGAACTGTTTCGTTCGAGCAACAGGAGTTCGAAGTACGGAGAAGCACGCAAGATGTCCCGAGAAGAATATGCAACTGCTGAAGCGAATCTTCAAGCCATCTTCGTGGACAATTGGTGTAAAATGCCACTGAGGGATGTCGTTTTGCCGGGAGTATTTCGTCGAGGAACTTGAATGAAGCTGGGGGGCTCTGTAACATGCAAGAAATGCGGTCTACGGGAGCTTCCTTCAAGCCCTCGCGCCGCCATATACCTATATGCTTTTCTTTTTACGACGCATATACGATCGTCGTTTATATATCATGTATTTGTAGTATCGTGTGGCTGGCTTACTAATAGCCAAGTCGCACGTGACGAATTATCATCTTTTATCCACTCTGCCACGTATCTCGCCCTCCGGCTCAACATATTGCGCCAGAGCGCGGAGACCCTGGATTCAGGTAAGTCTTTATCTTAGCTACTCCCTCTCCCGACCCGGAGCACGGCTTGCGCCGACCTCTGGCCTACCAGGATTGGTAGGGAGAGCTTCTTGACGTGGACTGCCCGTCAATAGAAGCTCTTCCGTGCGAGTAGCTAACTTTTTATAGCCTTTGTAGATTCACTAGGGAATTGAAAGACACGATTCTTTGAATTCTAAAGGTCCGCAAACCCGCGCACCTTTACACCATTGGTCCAGTAAATCTCCCAGATCAGGTCGGTACGCTGGGAGTGGTAGGCCAACAAACAATGCTTGTTCTGTAGAATGACTCTTTGCATAATGACAATCACTATCCAATTGTTTGTAGTCTTGGCTTCTTTAATTTTCTGCTCTATGTGATGCTGCTCTTGGATTACAGAGCAAACGAGAGCATGCACGCAAGAAAGGGCTGGTGTAGTCGGATCCAACCACCGCATATGAATAAGACAGCTGTGGTCAGATCCAACCACTGCATGCAAGAAAGGCCACTGTAGTCAGATCCAACCACGGCCTGCAAATAGGACTTGCAGCGGTCAGATCCAACCACCAGGCACAGATGATACAGTTGTGGTCAGATCCAACCACGGTGCGCAAGAGAGCCACCTGCGTTGTGAATAAAGTAATAACGCTACATACAGGTTGTAGGATCTGACAACAGTATTACGCCTGTGTGGGGGGATCTGACTGTTGAACAAGGATTTTGTATAGGGGAGAGTACAGCCACCGTCCAGCCTGCTGGACGTCTTTTAGAGTGTTGAGTCGATGGGTAGAACTCCCATCAAAGATCTAGCTCCATTTGGACCTATTCGGCTCCCGACGTGGGCGGCGCGCGCCACCGCGCGGTATGTCGTGGATGGGAGAGAAAAAGATAGAATACATCGAGTATCTTTGCCTAGTTCAAGCTGCTACACATGCCCTGAAAAAATTGAGAAAAACATATCACTGTGGAGATTCTGGAATTTCCTTTTCAGGGTGAAATGTCATGGCGGAAAGTTGGCTTTGACGGCCACACGTTGGTCGGCGTAAATCTTGCGACGGTGAATTCGAGCCCTGTAAACCAAGAGAACTGTTCACAGTACATGTAGTTTTGATGTCCAAAACATAAAATTTCAATTTCTCATCTCCTGTTTCTTTACAACCCGTCGATGGACCTTCAAAAAAGGCCGCATGAACACGGGAAAAAAAGACGAACGGGGAGCGCTTGTATGCCGCAAAATAGAGTTTGAATATTTGTTCATGACATATGCTATGTTCTTTATTTTATTTTTTTCGTTTAGACTTGAACAGAGTCGTCAGCCCAGAGAGCATACAGCAATTTCTCAGCCAGAATTTGACCTTAATAATTTCGAGAGAGACGCCTCCAGGCGTCTGCGACACTGTCGGCATCCCGCCACTTAACCTTTCCGAACTGATCGGAGTTCTACCATCTCACTACGAACTCCGTCTTTTAGGGTCAGGGCTGTACCTGTTTGGACAGCCTGTCATCAGCCTGTTATCTAACCCCACAGGATAGGGAATTTGCATTTCTGCATCCACCAGGTAAATTCTTATATTATCCTGGGGGGTGCCCACCATGGGCAAGATGGCCGAGCGGTTAAGGCGTGTGACTCAAGTTGGACAGCTTGCCCTGTTATGGGTTCTCATCACAGTAATGTGGCGTGGGTTCAAGTCCCACTCTTGTCAATTTTTTCGTCCATTTTCACCGTCAATCGTGAACGCTAATTCTGCGTCTCATTTTTCTTATCTTTAATCATTTTGCCTGTGGTGAGCGTCGATAAACTGTAGGGTTCACGCTTTGGCACCTCCCACGGGCATTTTCTTCACTCATTAGATTTTTCTCAACTTAAATTAGTAGGGCGGGCATGGTCCGGCAGCTTATGCCCTACAACTTGAGTCTCCCAAGCCGACTCTATGTTATTTTTCTACTTTTCTTTTCAAGACAGTTGTTCAAACGTACATTCATCCTGGCAGCTCGACCTAGAGCTATTTCTTGGGGATATGAGGGTATTTGCGACTCTGGAGCTCCTCCCGCTGCCCCGACCAACGAGGATGTATGCAATTTTTTACAGGCCCTGTTTTTCATATTTTGATTTTCTCCTACTCGGTCCTTTGCCAAAAGATCTCTGAAGGCCTTGCGCGCCCTCAGTCTCGCGTGCTGAAGGTAACTCTAGAACAAATATAATTACAAGATTACATCCCGCAATATTGAGATCAACGGATAGCAAAGCACTACGAGGCACCGCCGTTGGCGCGCACAAACCCAGGGGGCCGGCTGAAGCCAGCATCGATCAGGGCTTGCCTTCTTTGCCCGACAGCCTGTAGGATAAAATTGAGTGCCGTTGACATAAAAGCTCGTGGGGCACCTACCGCATTGAGCTTGTCCATCATGGTGATCGTCGTCTCCCAGTTAACGCACGCGTCCGTGATGCTGACACCCCACTTGAGGTTCTGCGCACCCTCGCTGGGAACGTCCTGGCGCCCGTCGTTGATGTTCGATTCGACCATGACACCAGTGATCGCCCGCTCGCCCGCCGCCAGCTGCTCGCAGATGGAGTCAATCACGAGCGGCTGGTTGTTGTGATTTTTCTGCGAGTTGCCGTCTAGCGCGGCGCATGAGAACGTCGGGCGGCGCGTAAAGAGGTGACGTGACGTACGGCTGCAGTCGACCATTATGCTCGCCCACTCCTTCTTTTTTTCGATGGCCTTAGCGGCCTCTCTTACGTGCTCGTTGGCATAATTGGGACCTCTGGTCCCGCCGCGGAGGATGACATGCGTGTCTTTGTTGCCGCGGGTTTTCACGATGGAAGCGAGGCCTAGAAGATGCGTTAGTAGCGATCAAGTATGCAGGCGGAGTATCTTCACCCTGCTCCGTCACGCCCATGAACGCGTGGGGCGATCCCGCAGAGAACATCGCGTCGATGGCAACCGAGACGCTACATCATGAGTTGAATCAGATCTAGTGGCGGGAGAAAAACGCGTGAACGAACCTGCCATCTGTGCCATTTTTGAAGCCGATGGGGAAGGACACACCCGACGCGAGCTCGCGATGGAGCTGCGACTCCGTGGTCCGCGCACCAATGGCGCCCCAGGAATGTACTATTTGAGGTTATTTCGCGAATTTGGACAGAAGCAAAATAGACTAACAGTCGGCAAGGTACTGAGGCGAAATTGTATCGAGCAGTTCCGAGCCAATCGGAACGCCCAAGTGGGTAATGTCGCAGAGCAACTGCCGGGCAATGCGCAGGCCCTTGTTAATTTTGAAAGACCCATTAATGTCTGGGTCGTTGATGAGACCTTTCCATCCGACGGTCGTGCGGGGTTTCTGCGGGGAATTCAACGTGTGCTGGCCCGAGTAGTGAGAAAAATCACCTCACTATGCGGTGGTCAGCCGAGTAAGAGCGCATGAAAACAAAGTGACTCACAAGTACGCCCGCATGATGATCAGGAGATTTGACCACTCGGGGATTTTCGCCTTGAGAAGGTTGGCGTATTCGAGGGCCTGTTCGGGGGAATGGATAGAACACGGGCCCAAAATTACGAGGACGCGGTCGTCGTGGCCGGCGACGATGCGGGCTGCATTGTAACGCGCGGACGCGATTGTTTTTTGTGCGTTGGCGGTGGAGACGATCTCGTGTCTGAGCAAGGCAGGCTGGACGAGTGGATCGTACTGTCCTCATGTGAATAGAGCAGCGTGCTCGACGGGTACTGGACCTACACCAATGACGCGGCGGTCCTGGATGTACTGCTGGACCTTCTCTGCGTCGTCAAAGTCGGGGAAGGGGCTGACGTTGTACATGTCTTCGTCGGGGACGGCTGTGGCTGTTGAGGGGGATGGAGGAGGAGAGGGAGAGGGAAATGGTACCGAATCTGAACGCCCTTTGCGCGTCTTTTATAGATGGCGTATTGGACATCTGGGGCAAACGTTCGAGTCAATGCAGAAATTCTGCAGTGGCTGTGCAATCCAATTATGGCTTCTCGTGTCCCAGTCAATCTCAGTCCAACTGCTGGCTTTTGCATAAAATCATCGACTCTCCAGCCTGCCTTGCTCAAGCTTGCACCCGCTGTGCGCCCCGGTCCCAACTCTCTCGAGCCACAAACAACGTCCATCTCTGTCCCCAAGGGCCAGAAAGTATTCATAAACTTTGCCTGGGATTCAAATGTTCCCCCACCCCCAGAGGGTAACGAGGAAGCGATACAACGTGCGATGCGCGGCGAGGACGATACAGATCATCCTAACCCCGATGCTTGGTTCGTCCCCGTCGTCGTTTCGGACGCCAAACAGGACACAGATAAAGGTCTGTATACGTTAACTGCTCCCTCGGCCGGGCACTTGCGGCTGTTTACTCCCGTCTTTGTGCACCGCAAAGCACTGTCGCTGTCTCTGTTGACTGACCCGATCTCTTGTCAGCCGGCAAGCCGTCTCTCGTGTTTGACTGCATATACCACACGTCCATTCGCTCACGGTCGGTCCGCGATCCCGCGTTCAAAATTTTCATCCAAGGCGCGTCGCTTACTGTATCTTTACACGCTCATTCAACTCCTGTTGCTAGAACTCGGCCTCCAGAGAGTCGAAGCGCAGACTGCCCTAGTCCTCTCCCGGCAGGTATCCACCCCCAATATCGCGTCCAAGGGGAAACTCCTTCCGCGCACGGTCCTCATCCCGTCGACATTCCTCCCCACGGTCACTTCCCCAAAGAAATCACTCATCGAGGAACTCGATCGCGAGAACCCCGATGTGTCCGTGCCGCCGAAAGGCAAAGGAATCCTAAAAGCTACCTCCGCCACATCTCCGACGCCGAACGGGCCGCCAACCGCGGAGACTCCTAGCGCCCATACCCGGCCGACGTGGCGCTGGACGAAGACCCCAACCGGTTCCCTCGAGATAACTATCGCCATCCCGTCCCTCGTGCGCCGCGTCCCCTCGTTTCACATCTGTCTGCTACTAACGATGTCCTCGTATGCTGTCTGTCTATCGTACTCATGTGGCGTACATGCAGACACACACCCTCGTCTCCCGCACGACGCTCGACCTTGAGGCGCGGCGTGTGCTCCTCGCGGTCCCGTCGCATCCGCCGCTGGATATTAACCTCGGCGTCTCGGACGCCGAGATCGCTGCCACCTCGGGTGGCAGTGCGGCTGCCGACGCGGCTTTGATGCTCAAGCGCGAGCGGGCGCTGGACGTGGCGCACGCGGCCGCGGAGTGGCGCGTCGCAGAGGGCGTGTTGGTGCTTGTTGCCTGAATACGTGCTTGCGGCGAAATCTAGGAATGGCCGTCTATTAGGCGTTAAATCCCTGTCAGTACGCTTGTCGCGATTGCTCCGACAACACTCATACTCACTAAGCTGCGCTTTACAATTAATGCTCGCTTATAGATGCTAATGATATCATTTCCTGAAGGACCGCAAATCCCTGTCAGTTAGTCGGGTAAATCTTAGTTGCGCCGCCGACCCCATTTTATGGTTGACTTCGGCGTTGCTCCCTGGATGGCAGTGGAGAGCTTAACGAATGATGGCACATTATCCTCATCCTGCGCTCCGCTGACCCTGTTTCGCGTTTTCTGAATGATGGCCACCCAGAGTTTTGACGGAGATCCAATATCATCCACAGTTGAAGTACAGCCAAGCCGTTTCCTTTTTGATACTGTAAACGCCGACTGCGACGCAGATATTTTATCACCTCGGCCGTACGCAATGCGCATATGCGCACCATTATTGTACTCGAAAAATGAATGAAGCGTTAACTTCGTACCGGCTCCCGGTCCGGTCGCCAACTCTCCCTTTCCACCGTAGATTATGCCCGCCTTTCCCGCCCGTCCGCTGAATCCCTCGCGGCTGAACACGCTCGTCAAGAAACAGCCGCTGCTCTTTGGCGTGCCGTTCATCCTTCTCATGGTCGCCACCTCGTATGGGCTCGCAGCAGTAACCCAGACAAAGTACGACCTACGCGACCAGCGCGTGAAGCAGGTGCGCCTCACTTCACGGCTTCTACATCTCTCAGAGCTGGTGTTGACATCCTCCCAGGTGACAAAGAGCAAGAGCTCAAGCTCGAGCACAACCGCAAGAAGTTCGATATCCGCGAGGAGTACTTCGTGCGTTTTCTATTCCCATACCGTTCTCCCCGCGCACTGACAGAGGCGCCCTTTTTCAGCGGCTTAGCGCGCAGCCTGAGGAGGAGTGGGATATGAAGCGCGTGCCCCGGCCGAAGGGCACCCCCGAATGGGGCGTGCCGCCGCCTGAGCCCGCTGCCAACCCGAACTCGAAGCCGCAGCCATGACGCTGTCACCTTACATCCAGCACCCCCGTTCCACCGGGATTCTCTGCTTCGGGCTCGCCGTATACTTCCCAGCACTATACCTCGAAGCCGACGCCTCAGGATGTCAGACTTGCGAGATGGATCTAGATGGCCAGGGCCGCCAGCATACGATCTCTACCAGTTTGTACTGCGCACATTTAGGCCAGTACAATCCTGCGCTTGTTCCGTCGCAATGAAATTCGGGTTTACTTGATTTGTTGTCGAAAGGACTTACCTCCCCGATCTCAAACTACTAGGCAGCGAAATCTACCTCTCGAGAATTCGTTTCAGTGTCGCGCAACGTGCACATTCTTTCCAAAGTCGTGGGCTGCCTAACAGTCGCAGAAACTGTTTACCGAGGCGGCGCTGCAAGCCGCGGTTGCAATTGATAC